TGGTTGCGATTCTCACAGAAGCGGGGCATATTGTAAAAATCATGTTTTCCTAAATACCATGATCGGATCTTATTCTAAATGAGAAAACAAATTGCCAGGTGGCAGAGAGTGTATCAATGGAATTCCTCTATATTTTCATACTCCAACGTTTCGTTTGGTACGTCTGAATGAGTGAAAATAAAATGTAATCCTTATTTTTCGCTCATGTTTATCAACTATGATGTGTTTTTGGATGCTAGAAACGTCATTATTATTTCTCATCAATTCCTAGTTAATGTGAGAATTGATATTCACAATGAGTTATCAAGGAATCGTTGTTCCCACTTAAGTGAGAATAAAAATAATAAACTAAATTTCGGATATATTTTTCTTAAAGATATTCTCACTTAATTCTTTAATCGCATCTAAATATGAGAATGAGAATGAACATTCAATTCCAACATCAATTTTATTCTATTACTACATTCATTCAATTCTCACCTGATTCCATTCTCGTGTACCGAACGAGGCGCAAATGTTTTGGTTCTGACCTATACTTATTTCCACGTGCAGTTCCCCCTAGTCTCAAGGAGTGGAAAGATTCGAAAACTGATATCAGACTCAAGCAGAGACTCAAAACCTACCAGAATCACAATCCAGAATATGCCAGGAGGACCCGAATCCTTCGAACTCGCCGCGAAGTTCTGCTACGGCCTCAACATCGACCTCACCATTGCCAACGTCGCAACGCTTCGCTGTGCAGCCCATCACCTCCAAATGACCGAAGAAATTTCGGACAGAAACTTAGAGTCTCAGTCTGAATCCTATCTCAAAGAGACAGTCTTCACCAGCATCACGAACTCCATCTCGGTCCTCCATCGTTGTCAATCTCTGCTTCCAGTAGCCGAAGATATCGGTTTGCTTACTAGAATTGTATCTGCAATTGTCAGCAATGTGTGTAAAGAACAGTTGACTTCAGGTTTATCGAAGCTGGGACATAACAAGACGACGCTTGTTGTGAAACCTCATGACTGGGAAAAGTCGATAGGGATTCTAGGCCTTGAGTTTTTCCAGCGTGTTGTTTCTTCCCTGAGAACAAAGGGTTGTAAGCAAGAAACAGTCTGTAGAATACTGATGAACTATGCTGAGAGAAATATAGCAGATAATGTTGAGACAAAGAAGCAGAGGGCGATAGTGGAGGCGATAGTTGGGTTGCTCCCAACGCAATCGAGAAGGAGCCGCATGCCAATGGGGTTTCTCTCGGGGCTCCTCAAGACGTCAGTGGCAGTGTCTGCATCGGCGATGTGTAGAGGAGATTTAGAGAGGAGGATCGCAATGCAGTTGGATAGAGCAATCCTTGAAGACCTGTTGATTCCTGCAGCGGTGCCTAATGGTAGCGGTTCGAGTAGCCATTTGTATGATATAGACTCCGCGTCGAGGATATTTTCAACTTTCTTGAATCTGAATGAGGATGATGAGGATGACGATGAGGAGAGAGATGGTTGTTATGAGTTCGGGAGCCCAAGATCACCGAAACAGAGCACGATGCTGAAAGTTTCGAAACTTTTGGATAGTTATCTGGTGGAGATTGCTCTGGACTCGAACTTGACTGCGTCTAAGTTTATCGCAATTGTTGAGCTTCTGCCTGATCATGCCCGTGCGGTGAATGATGGACTCTACAGAGCTGTCGATATCTTTTTGAAAGTAATAACTTCTCGAAAACTTTTTTGTCGTCAATTGGCTAGACTATCAAAATTTACCCTGAAAAAATAACGAAGAAAAGCTAATCACATATTTCACTTTCAGGTTCATCCGAACATAAAAGAATCAGAGAGATATCGGCTGTGCAAGACCATCGACTGCCAGAAACTATCTCAAGAAGCATGCAGCCACGCTGCTCAGAACGAACGATTGCCTGTTCAAATGGCAGTACAAGTTCTGTACTTCGAGCAGATCAGGCTTCGAAATGCAATGAACGGGAACCAAGATCAGATCTTCTTCGGATCAATCCACGGCCAGTATCCTCAAAGATCAGGGAGCGGGGTAGGAAGCGGAGCAATCTCACCGCGGGATAACTACGCTTCAGTCAGAAGAGAGAACAGAGAGTTGAAGCTTGAGGTTGCAAGAATGAGGATGAGGCTCACAGATTTGGAGAAGGATCATGTGTCAATCAGGCAAGAGCTTGTAAAAGCAAATCCTGCAAATAAACTGCTGAAGTCGTTCACCAAGAAGCTCAGCAAGTTGAACTCATTGTTCCGGATGAGAGATGTGAAGCCAATGAATCCGAAGGCTGTTTCAGATGCTCGATTTCTGTTTCAGAGGAGGCGGCGACACTCCATTTCTTGAGAAATTTAGATTTTGTGCAAGTCTCGGTGTGTAAAAATTTGTGTTTGTGTTGATTTCATCAATGTTTTGTGATGAGATTGGCTCACATGTTTATCTGTCTTGTGTTGTTTGGAATCTGATTCATGAGAAAGTATTTGTATATAAACCAAAAGTGCTTGTGCGATTATGGGTCACAGGTTTTGCATTGTCGCAACATTCTGTGCAATATTTACTTCCCACATCCAGAGAAAACTCTTCAAAGGGGCCTCCGTGGAAAATCATAAAGTGAAGTACATCGAATGAATTTATGAGCATGTAACCTTGCATTAGTACCAGGCTATCAGCTATTGCCATCCAAATTCAATCCCTTTTATTAATTCCAGCAAGTAGTACATACGCGAAAGCAGCTTCAGCCACACTCTCGCATTTTTTTTCAGATACATCCAACACAAACAGAAAAACAAAGAAGCGAAGAACACGTGATCAAGGGATTGACGAACAAGTCCTACACCGCCACCACCTCCTCCTCCACCTCCACCGCCGCCGCCTCCACCGCCCATTTCAAGAACGCAGGTTTCGAGAAAGTATATTGTCTTAAATGAGAATGATCTCAAAATGGACAGCCGTGAAGGATATCCACAACCTCGGAGGCTGAATTTATAGGATGTTGCAAGGCTTAAAGCTAATATAAAATGACCCCGATAGTCACCTCTTATTGATAAGCTTGGGAGTTTAAAACGACAAGAAATCATTAATTGACCAGGTAATTAAGGTCTTAAATTATAGCGCAAAAAGTTGAGACAATAAAAAAGAATGCGTCCAAACACGTACAGCCTCTTCCTTCTTTCTTCTCCTTAGTCATAAATAAATGTTTATCCTTCTCCATTTTAGGTAACCGTATCAATCACCAAAAGGTTTTGGAAATGACTTGATTTTAGGAGTCATATTTTAAGCAATTAGCGACTTAATTCTTTCCTCTCCTAAGTCATAGTTTAGCAGCGCAGACCCCTATTCCTCACGGACGTGAGATTACTGCCAGGACGACAAAAGTATACAATCGTAACTCAGTCAGCAGCAGGGAAGCACAGTAAACAACAACTTGAAAGTGTATGTTTTTATTTATTGGTAAATGTAAATTCTCATACATCAACGTATCAGCAAAACAAGTAGCGCTTCAAATCGTAGGTAACTTCCCCTACTTTCAAAACACGTACGTGCAAAGTTTCTAACATTAACATACTTTTCAAAAAGCTAGTAAGATCCGAGCGACCCCGACAAACATCCGGAGTCTCGATGCATCCATTAGAACATGAACAAACAGTCTTATTTTGTTGAATTAATAGCGAATTTTCCGAAGTTAGAGTAAAGATACATAGTATATCTTTATCTCACGACGTATCTGCATATTTCGCAACTTTGCTTAATTTCAAGGAAAAGGTGAACCTTGGATTCATTTAGGCAAAGCGGAGTTGAGAATGTCGAGCTCTGAAATCGTTTAGTTCTAGATCTAGGGAAGAGTGGACCAATTTTTTTAACTGGCTCTTGGATAGTTGGGCACTTCTTGATGGGGATGTACCGGACAGAGGGATTCGATCTAAGATGAATGGTGTTGTGCGCAGCGGAAATTTCGGCAGAGTTTCTGGTGCACAATAAGAGAGAAAGATCAATAATAAGAATTCCCGTCTCACCAAGGAGACAAGAATCTGAAGCGGATATCTCAACCAAGTGAGATATCGGCTCTTCCTCTCATCAGTTCTAGGACTGACCTGTCGAGGGATCCTAAAAGCTATTACAATGGCCACAAACTCAAACAACCAATTTTACGTGGTTCGGCAAACTGCCTACGTCCACGGGGCAAGGAGGGGGGATCTACTATTATAGAGAAAAAGAATACAATGGGTTTACAACTCTCACAATATCAACCCTCAAATAGGCTCCTTGCTTTTCTTCACAAGAAAAGGTCAGCCTCCAAATACTCTTTCTCTCTTCACAAAACCCGAGACAGCACCTGCACTGTAGCCGCCAAAAGGAAGAAAATTGCTGACTGCTGCACTCCTTCACACGCCCCAATCAGCCGCATGCACTTGTTTTTCTCCCCTCTGCCTACTCTTGCACGCACCTCCAAGCTCTCTGCACTTTTCACCAAGCCAAATTTTTCTTCACCGAATAAGGCTATATATAGCTGCAAAAAATAGTTTCGAAAACCGTGTTCCCTGATATCACGCACGCGGTTTCAAAAAAAAAAGACTTTGTGCTTCGTGCGGCCTGTAACCTCTTCACGCGGCTAAAACCTCTTCACGCGTCACTTCATGAGGCTGCAGTTCACGTGGGTTGGCCCCACCACGTCTCTTCACAATTCTCCACCTCGGTGAAGTTTTTCCAAAACTGAACCGACACTAACCATACCAAATATCTCACTTGTTGTGTCCAATACGAAGTGAAACAATTCACAATAACAGACTCAATCCATAACAAGTCGAGAACCCAAATGAGAATGCAAACACTCTCCAAATGTCAGTATCAACTCACCAAATCGATCTCACCCCCATCAAAATCCAACCCGGCTGCATCATAAAGACTGCCTACGTATCCTCTTGCCCAAGGAATCAACTTCTCCAATATCATCAACTCTGCGGCTGATAGCACCTCCAATGGCCTCAAACCCCTCCACCTGAGGCGAACCAATGGTCATATCCAACCTATGTCTGCCAGCTGCACTCGATTCAAAACCCAACTCATCATCTGCACATAAATCCAAATAACTTCCACGCTGTGTCACCTCAGCTGGAATTCCAACCAATGCAGAATGATCTGGAGTACGAATCCAAATGACTTCCACGCTGTGTCACCTCAGCTGGAATCCCAACCAATGCAGAATGATCTGGAGTAATCTTTACCCAATGTGGAGTAGCATCACTCTCCACCCGCTGCGATACCTCTAAGGTCTGTCCAAAACTCTCCACCTGCTGAGAGTCAATTGGCTTCCTCATCGAAGCCTCAACCAAAGTGACACTACCAGACCTATCTTCCAATGGAGTTTTACCTCCAATCACAGAAGTTGACAACTCTTTAATAGGATGACCCAAATATGTCGAAGCCTCTGTCCAGAAACTCTTCTGCAAACCATTGCTCGACCACAAACACCGATCCTCCTCCAGCAAGGCTCGGTTCTCCAAATTTGTCACCCTATCTAGTTGCCCCAAGATTTCCTTTTCAACGAAGTGTCTCGAAATGCCGTGAGCTCTTTCTGTCTATTACACACTTCTTTAATCTGTTGGATACTACTAGGACTTTCTCCAAAGGGGATTTGGTTGCAACCCAAACACGCCTAGAACAGCCACCAACAAAGGAAACCAAACGCCTATTACCTCCCAATGATGCCCCCTTGGAAGGCCCCCAAACATCCACGTGAACTCCTCTAGAATGGCCATTAGCACGGTGAATAGAGGTGCCACACTTCACCTTGGTCTTCTTGCTCACATCAACATGTTCACTGGACTTTAAATTGCAGGTCTTCGCACCCTCTTTCAATCTATGCGAGGAATCAATATTGGAATGGCCAAGCCCCAAATGTCGCAGTCTAGTCGAATTAACAGAAGTCGTCAGCTCTCCACCTGCCACTATACCTCCAGTCAAGTAATACAGGTTATTTCTCCTAACGCCCTTCATCAAAATACGAGAGTCTCTCGCAATCTCGAGAACCATGTCCTCAACACGAACCTTCAGACCCTCTCCAACCAAAGCTCCAATCGAGATCAAGTTCTTCCTCAAAGAAGGAACATATCTCACATCGTTTAACTCTCTAACAGTCCCGTCAAACATCTTTATGCGAATTCTTCCTATCCCAAGGATCTGGCATGCACGGTTATCAGCCACGTACCCACACCACTATCCACCAGCTTCTCAAAACTGGAGAACCATTCCCTTCTAGGACACACATGATAGGTCGCACCACTATCCAACATCCATTCAGATTCCTCCGAATAGCTATCTGTAGGACTGATAGAAAGCGAATAAATAGAAGAGTCAGAATTATTACCATCCGATACGATGTTTGCTTCTGATGATGGTTGCTTCCCTTTTCCCTTCTGCTTATTCTTCATCCATTCGTCGAGCTTTGGGCAGTCTTTCTTCCAATGACCAACACACTGATCTTTTCCAATTGTAAGATGCCCTACTCTAGACTGTGACTTCCAATTCTTTCGGTTCGGATTCTTCCCTCTTGCGACCAACGCCTCTGCTACCGGCTCAACTGAAGCCTTCTTATCCTTCTTTCGAAGCTGATAATTCACAAGTGCAGCGGTGACCTCACTATACGAAAGTGATGGCTTCCCATTAATCAGAGTAAGAACGAATGTCTCATATTCCTCGTCGGGCAAGAAACTCAACAACAGCAACGCCTTGTCCTCATCTTCAATCTTGACATCCACATTCGCCAAATCCGCAAGAAGCTTTGTGTAGTGGTTCATGTGATCTCTAATGGAGGTTCCCTTCTTCAACTGGAAACGATAAAGTCTCCTCTTCAAATGCAAGCGATTTTCCACACTCTTGGTCAAATACTTGCTTTCGAGAATCTCCCAAATCTTCTTCGCAGAAGTCTCATTCATCACATCATATTTTAGATCTTGAGTCAAACAAGACCTAATCACACCACACGCCGTTCGATTCATCTTCTTCCAAACCTTCTCTTCAATCTCATCTGGCTTGCCATCTAACTCCAATGTATCCTCCAAATTCTGCGCGTTCAGCGCATCCAAAACCTCGCATCTCCATAATCCAAAGTTGTTTGTGCCATTAAATTTCTCCACATCTATCTTCATAGAGTGGATATTCAAACTCTGAATAGTCTTCACGCCAGAAGAACCACCCTCGACTCCCGAAGCACCTTCTTTCCCCGACATCTTACGCACCAACGAACAAAGAATAGATCCAAAACTGAAAGATAGAGTCTTTACCAAAAGATCCCACCTTTATCACCAAACGAAGCCCTAGATGAACTTCCAAAGCGATCTACTCCTCCAAATAGCCCAAGCGTAGCCCGAGATCTGATACCACTTGTTGTGCGCAGCGAAAATTTCGGCAGAGTTTCTGGTGCACAATAAGAGAGAAAGATCGATAAGAATTCTTGTTTCTCAAAGGGAACAAGAATCTGAAAGCCTAATATCCCATCAAATACAATGGGTTTACAACTCTCACAATCTAAACCCTCAAATAGGCTCCTTGCTTTTCTTCACAAGAAAATGTCAGCCTCCAAATACTCTTTCTCTCTTCACAAAACCCGAGACAGCACCTGCACTGTAGCCGCCAAAAGGAAGAAAATTGCTGACTGTTGCACTCCTTCACACGCCCCAATCAGCCGCCTGCACTTGTTTTTCTCCCCTCTGCCTACTCTTGCACGCACCTCCAAGCTCTCTGCACTTTTCACCAAGCCTAATTTTTCTTCACCGAATAAGGCTATATATAGCTGCAAAAAATAGTTTCGAAAACCGTGTTCCCTGATATCACGCACGCGGTTTCAAAAAAAAAGACTTCGTGCTTCGTGCGGCCTGTAACCTCTTCACGCGGCTAAAACCTCTTCACGCGTCACTTCATGAGGCTGCAGTTCACGTGGGTTGGCCCCACCACGTCTCTTCACAAATGGCTCTACTGTTAGATTAAGATTTCAGCTTAGGGTGATGGGGTTGCGGCGTTGCTGTTGCAGGAGGAGAGGAAAACAACAATTTACGACAGTTTTTTTTTTTTGGCGAGCTTTGAGGCTGTTCTAAGCTTGCGGTCTGCAGTTTACTGCTGCTGCAGGAAGCGGAGGGGACGTATGTTGTTTGGTTTGCTGACGGTGAGGAGGATGGCAGGGGAAGAGGCTGTATGTTTGTTTGGCGGCTGCAGGAGAACAATGAAATAAGAAAGAAAGGTTTAGGTTGGTAACTGGACTTGCACGCCAAAGGACTTCATATTCTAAGGGGCAATCTGGTGCATGCCCACCATCAAGCAATTCACATGCTCAAATAATTTCATAGCTCAATTTTAATTCATCAACATATATTCCTCGTATGGGGCACTGCACATCTCATTTTTGGAATAAAAAGACATCCGATCATTAAGGGGAAACAAATTAAAACTCTAATCAAATCAAAACTTAACAAAACTAAAAGATGCGATCGAATAAAATTCTAACTAAACTGGGAAAAGATTTCAAATCAGATCATATAGAAATCCTAACTAAAAGAGAAAATTACTAGGAAATATTCTTCCACGACCGCAGTATTATATCTTCAGAAGTATGTGTAATTCCACGGTCTGCAATATCTTCAGGTTTGTGTGTGTGTGTAATAGATATTTAGTAGGTGGCAGGGGAGCCTGGAATGACAAACCCATTATCAAATTATTATGTATTGGATGTATTTTGAACTGCACTGCCAATTTGGATTCTAGCTCTGAACTTGATTTGCGCTCAAGTTCTAGATCTACATTCTACATTGTTTCTAGCTTTTGCTCTAGTTCTTGCTCATGCTCTGGCTTGGTTTGGAATCAAGCTTTTGATTTGCTTATGGTTTCAGCTCAATTCCGTGCTCTGAGTCGATATTTTGATTTGGTTCTCTGGCTTTAGTTCAGACTTCGGCTCTGGGTTGAACTCTAGTTTTGACTGCAGATCCACAACAAGTTGGAGTCGAGGCACTCACGTTGGCTTTGTTTTGGGTTCTAAAGAACAAAAATATCTTATATATTGTTAACAATATTATCTCCTTTATATAAGAAATTTCATAGATTTCTATGAACGGATAGCTAACTTAATCAGAATAATTTCTAGACCACCATTTTTTAGCTTCTCTCTTGAGTTTATAGTCAGCACATGAATATATTTTTAATTCTACCATAGATAGAAAATATATCTTTCATTTTGTGAATCCAGTCTTCAAAATCATAAAGCTCCTCATATTCATCAAATACATAAAAATAAGCTAAAGTATCAAATTTAAGTGAACTGAAATCATGTTTTTGTGAGGAGATAGTAGTGTTTTATACATGGCAAGTGTGGATCATTCGGCTCTGATACCAAATGATGGGGACCAGGAGGAGGGGTTCAATCAGTGACTCTATTGTTAGATATTAGATTTCAATTCTGTGCAATGCAGTTTTGATGATTGTTCAGAAGATTTCAGAGCTACGGAAGGGGGGCTGCATCATTGCTGCTGCATGAGGAGAGGAAAACAACTATTTATGACACATTTTCGGGGCTCTTTTGAGGCTATTATAAGCTTCAAAATGATCTCAAAATAAATTCCTAAAGAATCCAATAAAACAAAGATTACATAAAATAAAATCAAATTCTACCAAAAAAGCAAAGTTCCTAATAAATCCTAATCGCATCGTTGAGGGTCCAAGATCGTCCAACATTGCTCCTACAGTTGTTCGAATGCCAGAATATGCAATAGAGAAGTTAAATGTCACAAGTATGTTAAAATCTTGGAGCTTTATAGTGAAAATACTAATTTCATTTCAGAAAAAATATTTGGAGTTACTTCTTTGAGCTGAGACCTATTTCTTCAGTTGCATGAATATTTATTAACACATTTATATGCGGATCAGGCTTCAAAACCAAATAACAGAAACCATAATTACCTCTTCTTCGGATTGATCCATGGCCAGTATCTCTAGAGAATGGATAGCAAAGTAGGGAAACGGAGAAATTTCACCGAGAGTCAAGAGAGAACTTCGCATCAACGAGAAGAGAGGACAGAGAGTTGAAGCTTGAGTTGAGGGTGCAAAGATGAGGATGAGGCTCGCAGATTTGGAGAAGAGTCATGCGTCAATGAGGCAAGAGCTCGTAAGAACAAATCATGCAAATAAACTGCTAAAATCCTTCACTAAGAAGCTCAGCAAGTTGAATTTATTGCTTAGGACAGAGAGATGTGACGCTGATGAATCCGAAGGCTGCTTCAGATGCTCAGTTTCCGTTTCAGAAGAGGCGATGACACTCCTTATCTCTTGAGAATTTTAAATTTTGTATGTGTTTCTTTCTTCAACGTGCACATATTTGTTGTCATTATGAGATGAGGTTGGCTCAAATGTTACTCTGTTTTGTCTTATTTGAAATTTGGTTCATGAAACATTAATCTTCTATCTACTAAAGTTATTAGGGTTTGCCCTGTAGCTTGATACTGTACGTTATGCGCCCCAATACCTTGGTATACTGTTAAAAAGAGGTTTTATTTTATAGGATATTTTGGGTATTTCTAAAACCCTCTATTTAGTTCAGATAAAACCCTTCCTATTTAATTCAGACCTTCCTGCACGTCAGCAACTTTTACTACTTTTCATAACACAAGCAAAGGTTTTGAGATCAAAATTGCATCGAGAAACTAGTGAGATCCTTTGAGACTCAAATGAATTTCCAGATCTTAAGCATACCAACATTAAAAATAATAATCTTATTTTATGGAATAGAAAATTTCCAAATTTCAAGTGAAGATGACACATACTTCTTTATCTGCCGACAGATGTGCACATTTCACAACTTTTATTTTCAAGAAAATCCCCTTCAACCACAGTGTTATTATCAGTTCCCTTCAAATTTGGGTTCTTTTTCCACGACAAAAACTTGAAAAAGTTGTACGCTTGACACTTACCCCGCTGCTCTGACATGCATTAATGTAATGAAGTATTAAAATACCACAATTCTGTTGCAATTTTGGAGTTTCAACATGAAAGATATTAATATTCATTTCAGACAAACATCTGAAAGTTATTTTGTTGAACCGTGACCCAATTTCTTTTTGAATGCTCATTGTACAAACAGTTACGAACATAATTGCGTACAATAATATACCCGAGCGTCCATATCAGATTTATTGGATGCTCTTATGTCCATGTATCACTTCATTACTTTAGTCCCCTTTGTTAAATTCCGCAAACTTGGTGGAGACTATAATTTTTTTGAGCATTTGGTAAAGATTCACTTTGCAACTAATACCATATGCAAACATTCTCCACGCCACAAATTCCCAAAATCAATCTGCACTTACCTCAAGAATGATGTTCTACCCAAATTGTGACCAGTTAACAGAATCAGATGTCAGTTTTTCTTCTTCTTGATGGGCCAAATTGTTCGGTAGCATTGTTCCAAATCATCTCCATCTGGCATAGAGAAAGGTAATCTTTTAATCACATACACAAAAATTTTAATATACTAATGAATTGAACAAGAATAAAACAACATACAATGAATTAAGTCATCCAAAGAAATGATGCAATTAAATGGAAAGCTAGGGACATGCACAAAGAGAGAGATCACTAAAGAATTGTAATCATACATCAGCTATGATCACTGTATCGCCTTCTTTAACTCCATGTTTCACAAGAGATTTGTTTACGCCACAAGCCTCTAGAGCATGTTGAAATCTTCTAAGAGATTCTGCATACCTATTCCACAAATTCAACTGGTTAAGTAAAGCGAAGTGGTTAGATGAAATGTCGATGCAGAATATTCTCAAAAAAAAAATCCACAGACAGACAACAACGGCAAATGAATAAATGAGTAGATAGAATGAGATTTAACATCCAGCTACAGAAATTCTATGTCAATTGATTTTAATAAATCAAGGTTTGCTTTAAAACTAATTAACCTTATGGCTTTCTCTCCAAATATGTAGCACAGGCACTTCTACATGAAGCCATAGTGGTGTCTACACCTCTTCAACACCTCAAGCGAGAAAAGCACTTATCAAAAGGTGTATCCATTATTCAGTTCTCCAATATATTCTGTTATCTGGGATGTTTTTTTAACACTCTTTTGGGACACAAACTCTTGATTAAAACGGTTCTCAAAAACACACACAAACTTTCCATTACATATGAGACGATGGTCTTATGTATTGCTCATGCAATTTATTCAATTAGATGTTACTGTGAATGAACGAATCATAAATATGTAGACTTATTCATACTAGATTGATCCCAAAATAGCATGTTACATATTATAAGAAATTCTATAGAAGCTACAAGTTCCCAATTCATACTTTGCAACCTTTGGTTTGTTCAAGTTTGTGAATAAATGGCAAATATAGTCCAAATAATAAATGCTCAAGTTTCCTTTGGGGTCCCAGTTCCAATAAGATCCCCATGCCTCATTAGTCCATACTGCTCTAGAAAGAATACCTATGGTTAAAAAGGTAAACTATAAACTAATGACACAGTAACTCCAGTAATCCTAATGCTGAGTTAACTGTTAATAAATTACACGCTCTGATATGTATTTGCTTTCATTTGGAGTTGCACATTACGTTTTAGTAACAAAGGCCAGTTACTTGTACTAGGTATAGAAGCTTTAATGAATGATTCTAGAAATGAGATTTCATGATATTCCAAAAAATTGAAAACATAAGCTCAATTCTACATCACTAAACCTCAGTATATCATGTAGTACAAACATATGCATGAGAATGCGTGCCCATACATGTACTTGTGTACTCTTTACAATCTGTCTATTGATCTTTTCCTACTTATACCATCACTGTATATAATCAATACTTACGTTTGTTGTGCTTCTACTTTATAAGGAATTGTCATATGGCCATCCTCTTTTTTGTCATGTTCCTTTTTCTGCTTTATACTTATGCTTCCCAGCTTCTACATCCCCTTAGTTCCTGCTTGTACTTCCCCTTACCCATTCAACTGAACATTATATGATAACTGGTGCTGTGAGATATGGAAAATGCTCCCAAAGTAACCTAAGGGTTAATTGTTTATGAAAGAGACATGGAGCTTACAATAAGAAATGACAACTAAAATAAGAAACAGACACAGGCTACTCTTATATCCAGCATTCAAGAATGAAGGAACAGGAACTAAGAAGCTCAGAACATACTGCCAATTCGTCATTTGAACAAAACGTTGAATTCCAGCTCCAACCACATGCCATGTATTAGAATCACTATCATGAAAGACCTCAAAGTCATTCATTGAAGCACTTCGTTGCTTCTGTATGCTGTCAGCCACATGATTCAAATTTGCCTCACCCGTCCCCTCTGAACCAAAAAGAAACAGGTGTCATGATCAATAAACACACATTACATTAGAGATTGATATTTATGGATCTTCAAAAAAGGACTTTGTTCATAGTGATGATGGTGACATATCAATAGTATAAATGTTGACATGGCCGAATGCAAGCATGTAAACAAAATAGATCAATTTTCCAACATGTCACGCAATAAGACTATTTCCTACATATATAATGTGAAACCTCAGAAGCAATTAACGCTAGCCAGATTAACCTTGGTACTCTAAGATAGTGCCAACTATATATGTTAAACAATAACCTTGAGTGTTCTTCTTTTTCTCCAGCTCCTTCTGCAGAAGTTCATATGCAGCGCGAACAATGTCATGTGTTCCCTGCCTATTAATTGCGCTGATGCAAAAAGGATGAATATCACGAGTTTTTACGTGCTCCTTGAATGAAACCCATTTTTCATTTGCATCTGGAAGATCCATTTTATTATATGCAACAATAAAGGGCTTTTCTGCCAGGCCGGGGCTAAATAGTTCTAGTTCCAAACGAACTGCATCAAACTCATACTCTGGCTGCATTGCTGAACCATCAACTACGTGCACCTAGCTTTTGGGAAAAAGTAACAACAATAAGTAAATAAACAACAATTATGGAAATGCCAAATCAATTGTCTATCAAGAAAAGATATATGTAAGTACTTAATAAATATACAATTCAAAAATTAAGATCAAAGAGGAAGTTCAAGAACCTCCAAACAGGAGCTTGTAAAAGCACTAGAGATCCATGCTATGAGTCTTGAACTTTGTATCGTAAATCTTCATAGGATCTATTAGTTTAGATCATGAACCGGACCGCGTATCTTTAAATGATAAAAGAATAAAAGTAGTCAACATAAACTAACTAGCAGACGTCCCAAAAGTAATTAAGTATCCACAGATTAAAATCACATCTACAACTTGCAAATGGAGGATTTGTAAACAGTTATCATTATAAAGATGTGCTTATTACTATTTTAACAAGGGAAAGAAACAAACATTGTTGAGAAGAGTTTTTGAGAGTTCAGGTACAAAGATAATGAAAAAGAACAAAGTACAAAATGGGCAGTTGCTTTCAGGGAATAATAGCCCGTTTGATTGGTTTCTTGGAAATCAAAGAAAAGGAAATTGGGAGAGGAAACCATCAAAAAATGTTTTCCACCCATTTCCTCCAAAAAAGCTATGACATGGGTTTCCTAAACAATAGGTCACATCATCCAGTAAGATGGTGACACCTAAGCCCATCCCATCTTTCTTCCTAGTTTTAATGTGCGAACCAAACAAAGAAAAATAGACTATTATAAGAAATAGTTTTCCTTGTTTGTTTGGCCAACCAAAAAGCCCCAAGCATAAATACAAGTCATAATTATCAAAGTCACTAAAAACTTGTTTCCATCAAAGTGATTCGACTTTCAATGATGAACAACATCTCCAATAAAAAAGGCTACAGGGAGGGCCGTATTTGAGTTTTACAGAAGCCTATATGACATGAAACTCTCAGTTGCCGGCAAATTCTGGATGAATATGTTATGGATAGAATGTGTGAGGATGGAGCTTGTGACAAAACTTTCAAGGCATTTTATGAAGGTTAAGAAAGAAACTTAGGTTGTCAGTCATTTGGCTTTATTCATGCAAACTAAGAAGCACAACCCCTAGTAAAAGGGAGGTTTAAGAGAGGGTCTTTGAATGCAGACAAATATGGCTATATATGTAGTGATGACATATTTGGTGCAATTTTGCATTATCAGGTAAAGAATATAAATAACATTGTATGTTAAAATCAATATCATCAAAGAGCACTTAGTTACAATATGGCTGCTAGCTAGATATCATATAAGATGGAGAGAAAAAAATTGTTAGAGAAGTCGATCCTTTAAAAAAATGGAGTGCAGCTTGTGCGTTAGGACAGATTAACATGAATTAGGAAAATGAAGAAGGGACACCACAATCATTATTGTAAGAAATTACCATTGAAGCAAGGCTGATATGAGAAACCACATACCAGGACAGAACATCTTTCAGTATGACGCAGAAATTCATGGCCTAAACCAAAGCCTCGATGCGCACCTTCAAGTAAGCCGGGCAAATCTGCTACCACCATTGTAGCATCGAAGTCCAATGAAACCACACCAAGATTTGGAAGTAAAGTTGTAAATGGGTAATTTGCTATTGATGGCTCGGCAGCACTTATGGCACTTAAAAGGGTGCTTTTTCCCGCATTTGGAGCACCCACTATACCCACATCAGCTACCAATTTTAACTCCAAATCCAACCACCTGACCAGCAGAAAAGATAACAGTGTGAGAAATAGTAGTTTCAGAGAACTCATGACTTCAATTACCTAGAAGTGTCATGGTGAGGATTTGGGAGTGTCATTTAAGGGACAAGACACTAAATTTATCTTTGGGAGATAAACAATGATGCTTAAAAGATAAAAGGATAATAAAGTTAGTATGATCAAGAAATCAAGTAATTTCCCTCTAGATTAGTTCAAATTCCTGCACAAGAAAACCATGGACAAGATATGGCTTGCTATAAATCCTAAGGCTCGTTCAGTTTGCAGCAATTGTAAATGCAGTACAAGTGACAGTTGCAACTACCATTGTTGCAACTACTGTAGCAAGCATTTGTAGTTACAATCGTTTTCCAATTATATAATTTTATAATATGCACCTGCAGTTATGGTGATAGGAGTTTATCTTGGGTATTGATGCTTCTCTGCAGAGAGTTGGTTGCAATGAAAGCGTCAATTGTATGCTACTGAAGTTGCTACAATTGTAATCAAAATAATTTTTGGTCACATGCAGACACAGTTGTTTGGTTCAATTTTAAAATTTTGCAACTTGGATCTATAATCGTATTTGCAGGGTATTGTTTTGGATATCAAGTTTTTTATTTACTTCTGTCAGGACTTGGTTGTAATTGGAGTTACAATTCGAACCACCTTTATTGCTCAAAAAGATTACAGCTGCAACTTCTGAAAAATTATTTATAAGTCATAATCTCTAACCGACTGCCTTTCTCCAACTACAGTTGCAACAGCATTACTAGTCTTAAACGTCCAAGTTGAATTTAAATGCAACGGCAATTTCTGAATTTGCAGCAAACCAAACCATTAAGCACTCACAATGAAACTAAGATCCTAATTTAAAACTACTCTCAAATGGTTGCAGTTACGACCAAATCTGCATCAGTCACCATGTGCAACTATTAAAGGCTTTCTCAGACTGCAGATGCAATAACAGTTATTAGTCGCAGTGAAACAAAAAACTGCAACTGCTCCGAAGCGTCCTAGTTGTATGCGGAACAAACAGCCCCTAGTGAAACTAAAGACCTTACAATTGCAAAAGCAGCATTAAAAGGGATACAACAATACCCTACATTTCGGCACCTTCTTCTCCATTCTCTGCGATCTTAGGGACCTTATTCATTCCCGATTTAAACGAAGCGTTCCCTCTCCCTCCCCTTCCCCCGGGCAACAACAACCCCCTCTCCCCAGCATTCATCAACTCCAACAACACCTCCCCGGTCCTCGCATCCCTCACCACTGTCCCCGGTGCCACTTTCACCACCACATCCTCCCCTTTCGCTCCGGCCTGCTTTCTCCCTTGCCCGTGCGATCCTCTCAAAGCCCTAAAGTGCACATTTTTCCTAAACGGTAGCAAAGAATTCATTGAGCCATCAACCTCCACATAAACATCTCCCCCTTTTCCGCCATCGCCACCAGAGGGCCCACCATAAGGCACATACTTCTCCCGCCGGAACGCCACAACACCGTTCCCGCCATTTCCGGCCTTGACGTATATCTTCGCTCGGTCGAAGCATCTCATGATTGCAGGAACCCCCTTCTCCTTCACCTCTCCAAGCTCTCCCTCCTCGATTTCATCCTCGAACTCCTCCAAATCAGAGGCCTCGTCAGCTGAATCTGAACCTAACCCTAGTATAACATCGTCCTCGTCCTCCCACTCGAGCCCTGACTCTTCGCCTTCTTCTTCAAAGATTGGATCTTCGGTGAGGTTTTGAGCTGGGACGGGTGATTCGTGGAGCTTGATAATGCTGGATATTGAGGGCGAGAATCGGTCGTCGGTGCTGTCTCGTGGGGGAAGGCGAGTGTAGGTGGTGGCTTCGGAGCCGATTAGGGTTTTGAGATTGGATTTGGATTTGGGCTTAGGATTGGGTTTAGGGCTAGGGTTTCGGTGGGATGAGGATTTTTTGCTAGGGTTTCGGGTTTTGGGGCGGGGGCCAGCGAAGGAGGAGAAAGAGA